CCGCCGTCCCCCTCCCGCTCTCCCCCGCCCCCTCCCCATGATGGACAGCCGCATCCTGGAGCACCCCCATGCCCAGTTCGGCGGCATGGTGGGCTTCCCCTACCCCATCGGGCACCACCACGTCTACGAGCTGGCCGGCCACCAGCTCCAGGCCGCCGCCGCCGCCGCCGCCTCGGTGCCCTTCTCCATCGACGGATTACTCAACGGCTCCTGCGCCGCCTCGGTGGTCAACCCGACCCCGCTCCTCCCCTCGGGCTGCGGAGACAGCCAGCCCTTCAAGCTCTCCGGTAAGCTCCTTCTCTCTCTCTCTCTCTTTCGCTGCGCCTTACGGGCACCGACCCGGCGCCCGGGCCTTCCCGCCTGGCGCTCCGCCGGTTTCCCAAAGGTTGCTCTCTCTCTGCGCGCCTAGCCGAGCGCTCCGGGGGTGGATCGGAGAGGCCCAGGCCCTCGCACGAATCAGGAGGTCTCTCCCCACCGCCGACAAGCTTGGGGAGGCACCTGCGAGCCGCCCTCCCCAGCTTCTTCTTCTTTTTTTTTAGGGGGGGGGGAGTCATTGAGCCCGTCTTGGAGAGCTGGTTTTGGGAAGGCGAGAGCCGCGAGTCTCTATTGTGACTGTGATTGTTTTTAAGAGTCGTGAAGGGGGGGGGGTGGCGGCCAGGCCGCAGACAAAAGCCTCCCTCCGAAATCGAGTCGTCCCCGGGTTTGAGCGACCTTTTTTGTGGGGTTGGGGGGCTTGAAATGGGGGCGTTTGGGCTCTTTCTCCGTCTATGTATTTTAAAATCCCTGTTACGCGCACGGAGGATATTAGGTGGAAACGGGGAACGTAATAGGACTTGGGGGATCTGCTTTTTAGAGTTGATTCCCTTTCCCAGTGGTTCGTGCCCAAGGTCTTCTCTGCTTTCACAGCAATTAAAATCCGATCCCTGCCTTCTGCAATCGGGGAAGAAGCAGGGTATTTCCCCCCACCCCCTTGGCGAAATTCCTGACTTTGTTAGGAAGGTGTTTGGTTGAGGCTGCTGGCCTCGGCGAAGGGTGTGTGTCGAGAGAGATCCGAAGGGTTCCGTTCAGGGCCTTAGAAAGTGCAGGGCTCGACAGGTCGGGACTCGGCACCCCCGTGGCCCATCCTAAGCACGAAATTACCATCTAGGTATAGACGAATATCCCAGATATTCGCCCCCTTTGTTCCAAGATTTCAGACCTGGCGGAGAATCCAAGCAGAGGCCTGGATGGAGATCCGAAAACGGGTTTCTTTTCTTTTCGGAGCTCCTCCGATCAGGAAGTTTGGAGCAATCACTAGGATCGTACTCAATTAGTTCCTACATATGATAGACAGGAATCTGGCTTCGGAAAACGGTGCTTCTTATTAATGGTAAAAAACAACAACACAAAAACCCCCAAACTTGGCTCTGTCAAAGCCTTGGATGCCCAGAAAGTGACTAGCGGTGCCCCCCCCCCCCAAATGAAACAGCTAGGGGGTGCTGAGACCCCTCCCCCACACACCTAAAAGAAAAAATTTGGAAAAGTTTTTTTTTAAAAAAAAACAACAACACAAAGTGTATCACTCCAAGTAATTTCTCGCGCCTTCCCAGTGGCTGCAAAGTAAGAGGTTTCCGTCTAAATGTTCTCGGAAAGGAAACGTCCTTTCTTGAGGAAAATCAGAGGGGAAAGAATTTCTCTGGTGGGAATCGATCGGGCCTGACTTCGAAGTAAGTAAGCCCGGGACTGTAAAGGGGATCTTCTACAAAGAAGATGTTTCCTTTCGGCGCGGTGTGTTTCTCCCGGCGAGAAAGCGGGCCCGGTTTGCCGGTCTTATTCCGGAGGGTCTTCGTGATTCGCCTCGTGTTTCGGTTTCTCCCTGACACGCTTCTCTGCCCTTTTCAGACGCCGGAGACCCGGACAAGGAAAGCCCCGGGTGCAAAAGACGCCGGACGCGGACCAATTTCACCGGCTGGCAACTGGAAGAACTGGAGAAGGCCTTTAACGAGAGCCACTATCCGGACGTCTTCATGCGGGAGGCGCTGGCCTTGCGCCTCGACCTGGTCGAATCCAGAGTGCAGGTACACCGACAACCGGGGAGGCGCGAATAAACTTTGTCCCTCTCCCCCCTTCCCCCCGCCGTCCTGGAGCTCGAGGGTGCGATCCCGGCCGCAGTTAAGCCCTTCCAAAGTCTCCCCTTTCTGGGCAAGAGGCGCGCAGACTTCACTTGGCCCGGATCCTGCCCAAAGGCGAGGGCTTTCTTTTTGCGCCCTGGTGTGTGGCGTTGACCCAAATTCGCTTTTGTGTTTTTGGAAGGGGGGAGGAAGAGGAGGAGGAAGAGGAGGAGGGAGGGTGAATTAGAGGTCTCTTCCCTCCTGGAAAGCCGCGGCAGGCGTGAATCTAAGCCTGACGCTTCGCCCTCCTTTTAATTTCTCTCGGTGGGGGAGCAAGAAAAAAAATTATCTCCTGGTATTAACGGCTGGTGCCTCTCGCTCCTTCTTTCGCCTTCTTTCTCCCTCCCCCCTCCCCCTTCCAAACTCCTATAAACCCCCCAAATAGTGGGCCCCGGAGGCGGTATTTGAAATCCAGAGGTTTCTCCGCCGGCCGCTTTCTGTTAAATATTTCCCGAAATGGGCCTCTGGAACACGCGCGTTCCAAGGTTGCGGTTTGTCCCCCGAGGACTGGAGAGGAGGGGGGGGGGTTATTTATTTATTTATTTTTTAAAAAGTGCAACTGCGGCTCCTGGCTAGATTGGGCGGAGGGCTGTAACAATCACACAGTCGCGTTGGGTGACCTTCGCCGAGCCACAGTGAAATTTCACGAGGCCTGCCTTTGTCCGTCTCGCTTTCCCCTCGGGGAGGTGGGTGGTGGTTATGTATTAATAAACCCCAAAAGGTATTAATAAACTTCTAGGAAGGGTTTCCTTCATTCTGAACGTGTGTGTGTGTGTGTGTGGGGGGGGCGCCCTAAAAAACTGGAGACGGAAAACGCCTTGAGAAATATCTGTCTCCCTGTGGTGAGCCCCGCAAAGGACTGGTGGGGGAAAAGACAACGATATTTCCTCCTCCCCTCAATATATATACATACATATATTTAACAGTTATTTCTCGCAAGGGCTTGCAACGTTAGCGGGCCCCTATTCATCGGCTCCGGCATTGTTTAAAAAGGTGTATTTACAAAAATGCGTGGGAAGACACCCTCCTCTTTCTCTTCTTCCCCACTCCCCCCCCCCCCAATCCTGACCTCTTCTGTTTTCAAATCCCTTTATCCAATTTGTTCCGAGGCTAGTGAAGGGAGTCAAGACCCTCGGTTCCTCCCCCCCACCCTCTTCTAATACGATAATGAGTAATTCTGGGTGACAAGCGCTGGCGAAGCCGACACGGAAAGGGGCAGGGAGGAAAGATACGGACCGGCGGAACTGGCAAAGAATAACATTAGAGAAGCTTCGAGGGCCGGTGAGGCGGTCGCGCGTTTTGAATCCAGGACCCCCACACTCCTCCTCCTCCTCCCCCCCCTTTCCCAATCCCATTCTTTTTAATTTTTCACTGCCTCCTCTAAGCTGTGGAGTCTTGTGAGCAAAAACTCTACCTTGTGAGCTACTGGCGTTAAGGTTGTGAGCCAGCGATTTGGCTGCTGCATAAATTAGTTTGCTCTGGAGCCATCCTTCCTGAGCCGGGACAAAAATCCGTGAGCTGGAGGCTAAAAACCTGTGAGCTAGCTCACACTAACTCAGCTTAGAGGGGACACCCGCATCTCCGACTCCTTGAAAAACTGATCCACCGTTTGTCTTCAAAGAAACTTGATTTTTTTTAAAAAAAGAAAAGGCTGATATTTGGGGTCCTGTGGGGGGGGGTGGTGGAAAGGAGGGGGATTTGAAGGGGGCGGGGAGGAGATTTTAGAAATAAACTTTGCTCCCCTCCCCCCCCTTTCGGAAACTTTATTAGATGCTGCAGTGTTTTGGGGAATTCGGTGGTCTTGTTTTCTTTTCGTGTTGGTGTTTTCCATCTCGGCTGGTCGTTGCAAATATGGTTCTTGCTGTGTGTGTAGTTTTTCTCCTTTTCGTCCCTCTGTGGGTGTACAACAAGGAATGTCGCTTCGCGTGCGTGTAGATCTTTGCGGAGTCCCGGGTTAGTCTCGGCTATAACAGCCGCCTGCCTCTTTAGTCAATTTCACTTGTCAGTTTCCACCGGCTTCTTAAGATAGGCGCTTGGCGTTCTCTCTCTCGAGCCCTGGGTGCAAATCAGCCAAAAGATGCTGCTTTTGGGGAGGGGGGGTGGCGGCGAGGGAGGGAGGGAACACGTGTCCTCCCCCCCCCCATTGTTCCCTCTCCTCCTGACCCGAGGTGGCCGGCGTTTGAATCCATCGCAATTCCCTTTCCCGAAGGCAGACGCTGAGCGAGGAGGAGGCAATTCTAAGAATTGTGGTTGCGATTCTCGGAACGTTTTTCTTGGGAGCCAGCCGCTCCCCCCCCAAGTGTGGCTGACTTCTGAGTAGGCCTGGCGAGGCTCAGTGTCTCTTTCGGAGAGGCAGAGGTTGCCTGAGCGATCCGTTCGGGATCTTCTGCGAAATGAGTGTTTTAAAATTCTTTACTTAAAAAAAAGGTGGGGGGGAAGCATTTGATCCTGCCCCGGTTGGCATAATATCCACGGCGAGTTTGTCAGGCGGTGGAACGCAAAAACCTTGATGCGGCTCCCTCTCCGTTTTCCGGGGGAGATTTGTCCAAATCCGAAGGGTCAGGGCGCAAACCTCAGGGCGCAGTCCAATTTGGAGAGGTCTCCTCGATGTTCACATAACAGGGGAGGTGTATTTGGTCCCGCAGACCCAGCCCCTCGGCCGATCCCAGCCCCTCCCGGCCCTTCTTTTATTCTCACTCCGAAGCCTTTTGAATTTCCCAGCCCCAATCCCGGAATCCTCTTCGGGTTCTTGTCCGCAGCACGCGCCCGCGTGTCAGCTCTGGTTTTTGGAGAGACCCTTTTGGAAAAGGGCCTCGGAACGGTTGGCGGAATGGTTCCTTGTCTTTCTCGTTCCTAAAAAGGGGGAAGGAAAGCGTAGCGGGACCGGGGGTGGGATTTTGCCCCCCCTCCTTTGATCCTTCCCCCCGCCGCCCCGCGCGCCCTCGGGGGACACGAGGGGGGCCCGGCTGTTAACGGCTTCTCGTTCTCCGGTGTGTAGGTCTGGTTCCAAAACCGGCGAGCCAAGTGGCGCAAGAAAGAGAACACCAAGAAGGGGCCCGGCCGGCCGGCGCACAACTCCCACCCCACCACCTGCAGCGGGGAGCCGATGGACCCGGAGGAGATCGCCCGCAAGGAGCTGGAGAAGATGGCCAAGAAGAAGCGCAAGCACGAGAAGAAGCTGCTCAAGAGCCAGGCGCGCAACCTCCACTCGCCCAGCGGCCTCTCCGTCAACAGCAGCACGCAGAGCTCCGACAGCGACGGCGGCGGCGGCCTCTCCCCGGACCCGCCCGACGGCTGCAAGGCGTCCCTGGGGGGCCCGCCCAACCCGCCTCTGCCCGGCAGCTGCGACCCGACGGGCCCGGCGTTCTACCCCGCCAACCGGGGCGGCGGCGGCTGCAGCAGCACCAGCTGCCCGGCCAAGGAGGCCTCCCCGTCGGGCTCGGACTGCCCGGCGCCCCCTTCCTCAACGGCGCGGCCCCCCGGCGGCTTCCCCAAGCTCAACCCCTTCAGCGTGGAGAGCCTTCTCTCGGACTCCCCGCCCCGGCGGAAAGCGCCGCTGGATTTCCCACCGGCCTTGGCGCCGTGCGCCCCGACGGCACGCACCCTCATCGGCAAGGGCCACTTCCTCCTCTACCCCATCACCCAGCCGCTGGGCTTCATCGTCCCGCAGACGGCCCTCAAGGGCCACCCGGGCCAAGAGCCGCCCCAGCGGGGCTCCCCGCCCCCCGCCGCCAACCCCAGCCCGGACCCGGCGCCCCCCAAGAGCAGCACCACCGCCGCCATCTCCTCGACGCCCGGCTCGGAGCCCGCCGGGGCCCTGGGCCCGAGGAAGGCCGCCCCTTCGCCCCCCGCCCCGGCGACCGCCTCTTCCTCCTCCTCGCCCCCCTCCTACTGCGACTCTTCCTCCCCCCAGGCGGACAGCAGCGGCGCCGCCGCGGCGCAACCAAAGTCCCCCCTGCTCCTCCACCCCCCGGCGAAGGACGCTTGCCAGTCCAGGGACAATTCGGATTGTCGCGCGGAGCCCGGCTGTCCGGAAGAGACCAGCAATTTAGACTGTGAAGAGGTGGACATGGAGTAGGGCTACAGACCCCGGTGGGGGGCGGGATAGCGATATACTAGACTCCTGCGGGGGGGGGGGACGAATTAACTTGTTCACCCGAAACTTCGGACATTCCCAAAGTTCACCCCCTGGCCAGAGTTCTGTTTTATTAGGTATATTTTTGGAGGGCGAAACGGACCCCCCCTTCTTTTACATCCCTCTCCTTACCACCCCCCCCCCCATAACCCGACCCGTTTAAAATCAGGTGATTTTAAAGATTGGCTTCTTCTTTCTTCTTCTTCTTCTTCTTCTTTTTTTCCTTTTTGGGTTTCTTTAAAAAACACACACACTAAAAGATCCTCGGGGTTGAGAGAGAGCGGCTCGAGCCAGGGAGCGATGGAGATGGTGACTCGGAGACGCGCACTGTCAAACAAAAAAAGAAAAATGTGGGGGGGGGGAGAGAAAAAAGACACAACACTAACTCCTCAGACCTTGTAAAATGCAAAAATGTTCAAAGATATTTATATATGTAATTTTTTAAAAAAATAAAAAAAACCTAAATAAAAACCTCTTTAACAACCAGCCTGGTTTTTCCCCCTCTGCCTTTACGCGTTTCTTAATCCTGTTTTTAAAAAGTAATTAAAAAAGGGTGGGTCTTTAAAAAACAAGACAAAAACAACAACCCCAATCTTTGGGCGTTTCTATGTGTGTTTATTGCTTAACAAAATGTATTCATCTAATAGCCTCCCCTCCCCTTTCTGCCTATTCTCTCCCACCCCCCCAAACTCCCCAACACAAGGTTAGCAGCTTCGGGCTATGGGGGAACCGGCCGGCTCCTGGTGAGTTTTGATATGAAAGTAATTATTTTCCCGGTGGCTGCTTGCCGGGATTCGGTTTCCTCGCCCAAAGGGTTATTATACATTACCGATTTTCGAGTGATATGAAATCACATAAACTTCCTACAATAATAGAATTAGCATGAAAGGCTGGGGTGTCAAATTGAAATTGGAAAATAATAGCTTCGGCGGCCGGGGGAGTGGGGCGCGCATATTGGAGCCGGAGATGGGAAGACGTGGGGCGGAATTTTCATGAGGTTGACACCCCCCACCCCCACCCCACACACGCACTCAGCCCCCGCCGCCCCTCCCTCCCTCTCTCCCTCCCTCCCTCCCCCCCTTCTCCTCTTTGTCAGTCCTCTTGTAGCCGGCTATATTAAGATAGATGTTCAATGATATCTTTCATTGTTCTGTCGCTTATATGGATGTTGCCGTCTTATCAGACTATTGATCATATGTCGACTATAATAGGGCGGCCGCGGCAAACGCTCTCTTCTTCGCCTCCTTCTCTTCCTCCCCCCCCCACCTCTCTCTCTCTCTTTTTAATACAAAAGGCGAACGCATTTGTTCTAATAGGGTTGGGGGTCCTTGGGGGTCCTTTGGGGGCCGCCAGACAGCTGCCCCAAAGATATATTAGCAAACTTGGCTAGGAATAACCAAAAAAAAAAAAAAGAGGGGGAGAAAAAAAAACCACCCGAAAAAAAAGCCAAGAAGCCACGCTGTCCTCTTAACGCGCCCCCCTCCAAATCTATATACGTGTGTGTATACATATATATATATTTATTTATGTGGAATTTCGCAGCCGTCTTGAAATTTGCAGTGCGCGTCGCCGCCCCGACCAAATCCCCCAGAAATCGCCTTGCCAATTATTAAAACCATTAATTCTGGCGAAGGCGGCGCGGCGGCAGTGGAATTATGTTTACAGCCTCCTTAAATATCTCTGATCCCTCCTGGTCAGCGGGCCTATATTTGCAAATAAATTGAAAATAATCAAAGGGAAAGCAGCCGGGGTGTCTTTCTCTCTCTCTCCCTCCCCCC